AAACACTGGAACAGGTTACCCAGAGAGGTGGTGGAGTCTCCATCCTTGGAGGTTTTTAAGACCTGGCTGGACAAAGCTTTGGCTGGGATGATGTAGTTGGGGTTGGTCCTGCTTTAAGCAGGGGGTTGGACAAGATGACCTCCTGATCCTAATTTTCTATGATTTTATGATCCTATGAAAGATGGGATGTCAGCTTCTGGGGGCGTAGAATCTCAGTCCACCGCATGCCACGCTCTTTCAAAGAGCAGAGATTGAAAAGGAGCAGATCGTGGAAGGAGAGAGGGTCCGCCTGAGCAGAAGAAGCTCAGAAGCTTTAGATGCGACTCTCTTGATATCAACAACTGCTCTTTGCTATGAAGTTTTTGAACCTGAAGTGGGGTTCGAAAGAGGATGGATCTAGACCAGGGGTGGGCAAAATCCGGCTTGCGGGTCAGATCCAGCCAGCAATGGACTCCATTTCCCAGCAGTCCGTGCCCTCATGGCTGGGGCCGGTCTCCATGGAGATCCCAGAAGCAGCTGTGCTGTGATAGTGCAAGGCTGGGGATGCCATGGAGACCGGCCCCAGCCGTGCTGGCAGGGCGCATGGCAGGGCAGGGCAGGGGGCTTCTCCAGGGCCACTGAGATCTTGCCATGGGGGCAGCGTGGTCGGGGCCAGGGCAAAGCCACGATCTGCAGCCTTCACGCTCCGGGGCTATGAAGTTCTTCTCAAGCCTTCAAGCTCTACTGATCAGGAATGAGCTGGCAGCTGCACTCAAACAGAACAGGATCTAGAGTCCCTGTTCATTTTTGTACTTGCTCTTAGAGCCACAATGCTCTGTCTTTGTGCCATGCAAGGGCAAGCACCTCATAGAGGCTATGAGCTACTGTGCTTATGCACACAGCACTGTGTTGACCAGAGAGGGAAATCACTTTTGTTCTGGGTCATTAAGAACAAAGGCTCACCATGACGTTACATGGCATTGCCTTGGTCTAGTGGTCTAAATCAGAACATCAATCCAATTTTAACACAGCTTTTCTGTGTTTCTTCTCACTTGTCATATCTCTTAGTAAGAGAAGCTAGAAAGGAACATTTCTGTGCCCTCTGTTACCTGGCTAGATCCAGCAGGAACTGTGCTGCTCTGACTGCATTACCTGACTGTCAATATTACAGACTGTTATTGTGCATTGACTATACAACTATAGTCAATAGCTACGGAGCTGTCTACATGAACCAGGGGCCTTTATCACTATCAAAAATGGAAGTGTGCCAATCAATTACATGAGACTTCACACAGTCAAGAGGGGAAAGGAAAAATAACATGAGGAATTGCTCCCAGGATGAGGTTTGTAGGTGAATTTATGATTTCATCACCAACTTGGTTTAATAAGGTTGATTTGTATCCCTAGGCATGGAGATGAAGCAGAGGGCTTTTATTGCACTACTTATTGAGCCCTGAATCTGTCTGCAGAAAGCATTTAAGCGTGTGCTTTCCTCCAACCACCTGCTTAAGTTTCACTGGCTTCAATACAATTCAAGCAGGATGCAGGCTCTTAGAAGCATGGCTCATCAACCCCACCCCGTGCCGTGCTGCATGACCATGGCTGTACTGCCTCTGCCTCCAGAGCCAGGGAGGCAGCCTTACCTTGGGAACTGTACTCAGACAGGCTTGCTCACCTAGTGAGGAGGGCTTTAAAACTAGGCTCCCTAGGGGGATGGAGACCAAAGCCCTGAGGCAAGTCGGGAAGTGGGAGACCTGGAGGAAGAGCAAGCAGGAAGGGGCGACAGGGGAGGTGCTCTCATACTTTCTGAGAAATCAGGGCAATCGACTAGTTAGCTCAGGTGCTTGTACATGAATGCACAGAGCCTGGGAAACAAGCAGGAAGAAGTGGAAGTCCTCGCACTATCACGGAGCTATGACGTGATTGGAATAACAGGCTTGGTGGGAGCTCGCATGACTGCAGCACTGTCATGGATGGGTACAAACGGTTCAGGAAGGACAGGCAGTGGAAAAGAAAAGGAGGAGTTGCATTTTATATAAAAGAATCATAGGATTGCTAAGAGCTCCAGGATGAAACTGGAGAGAGGCCTGTTGAAAGTCTCTGGGTTAAGGTTAGAAGAGAGAGCAACCAGGGTGATGTCGTGGTGGGGGTCTGCTATAGACCACCAGACCAGGAGGAAGTGGTGGATGAAGCTTTCTTCAAACAGCTAGTGGAAGTTTCCGATCACAGGCCCTGGTTCTTATGGGGGACCTTAATCACCCTGACATCTGCTAGGAGGGCAATTCAGCAGTGCACGGGCAATCTAGGAAGTTTTTGGAGAGTGTTGGGGACAACGTCCGGGTGCAAGTGTTGGAGCAGCCAACTAGGGGCCATGCTCTTCTTGACCTGCTCCTCACGAACAGGGAAGAATTGGTGGGGAATGTGGCAGTAGATGGCAACTTGGGCACCAGCGACCACAAGATGATTGAGTTCAGGATCCTGAGGAAAGGAAGGATGAAGAGCAGCAGAGTAAGGACCCTAGACTTCAGAAAAGCAGACTTCAACTCGATCAGGGAACTTATGGGCAGAAAGGATCCCCTGGGAAGCCAGTCTGAGGGGAAGAGGAGTCCAGAAAAGCTGGCTGGACTTTAAAGAAGCCTGACTGAGAGCGCAGAAACAAACCATCCCGATGTGCAGGAAGACTAGCAAGTATGGCAGAAGACCAGCCTTTTTCCTTTTTCACCTCAGTCCTCACAGACAAGGGAAGCTCCCAGACTACTGCACTGGGCAGCACAGTTTGAGGAGGAGGGGAGCAGCCAGCAGTGGTGAAAGAACAGGTTAGGGACTATTTAGAAAAGCTGGACGTGTACAAGTCCATGGGGCCGGATGGGATGCATCTGAGGGTGATGAGGGAGATGGCTCATTTGTGACTGCAGACCCGTTGGCCATCATCTTTGAAAACTCATGGCAATCAGGAGAGTTTCCAGATGATTGGAAAAGGTCAAACATAATGCCCATATTTGAGAAAGGGAAAAAGGATGATTCAGGGAACTACAGACCGGTCAGCCTCACCTCAGTACCTGGAAAAATCATGGAGCAGATCATTAAGGAATCAGTTTCTAAGCACTTGGAGAAGAAGGTGATTAGGACCAGACAGCATGGATTTACTAGGGACAAGTCATGCCTGACCAACCTGATTGCCTTCTGTGATGAGATGACTGGCTCTGTGGATGTAAGGAAGCTGCAGGCGAGCTAAGGAAGTACGGGCTGGCAGAATGGACTGTAAAGTGGACAGAAAACTGGCCAGAGCATCGGGCTCAGAGGGTAGTAATCAATGGCTCAGTGTCGAGTTGGCAGCTGGTATCAAGCGGAGTGCCCCAGGAGTCAGTCTTGGGGCCAGTTTTGTTTAATGTCTTCATCAATGACCTGGTAGATGGCACAGAGTGCACCCGCAGCAAGTCTGCAGATGACTCCAAGTTGGGGGGAGTAATAGATACATTAGAGGGTAGGGCCAGGATTCAGAGTGACCTAGAGAAATTGGAGGATTGGGCCAAAAGAAATCTCATGAGGTTCAACAAGGACAAGTGGAAAATCCTGCACTTAGGACAGAACAATCCCATGCACTGGGACAGGCTGGGGGCCAACTGACTGGGCAGCAGCGCTGCAGAAAAGGACCTAGGGGTGACAGTGGACAATAAGCTGAATTTGAGCCAGCAGTACGTCCTTGTTGCCAAAAAGGCTAATGGCATCCTGGGCTGCATTGGTAGATGAGTTGCCAGTAGCTCAAGGGAAGTGATTATTCCCCTCTATTCAGCACTGGTGAGCTCACCTGTGAAGTCCTGCATCCAGTTTTGCCCCCCCCCCTCCCCCCACTACAGAAAGGATGTGGACAAATTGGAGAGAGTCCAGGGGAGGGCAATGAAAATGGCTGGGGCACATGACTGATGAGGACAGACCGAGGGAACTGGGCTTGCTTAGTCTGGAGAAGAGAAGACTGAAGGGGATTTAACAGCAGCGTTCAGCTGCCTGAAGAGGGGTTCAAAGAAGATGGAGCTGGACTGCTCAGGGGGTATCGGCTGGACTCCATGATCTTCCGAGGCCCCTTCCAGCCCTCATGTCTATGACATGTATGAAATAGCAGCCTTCAACTGCCTGAAGGGGGGTTCCAAAGAGGATGGAGCTGTTCTCAGTGGGGGCAGATGACAGAACAAGGAGCAACGGGCTCCAGTTGCAGCAAGGGAAATTTAGTTTAGATATTAAGAACAATTTTCTCACTAGGAGGGTAGTAAAACACTGGAACAGATTACCCAGAGAGGTGGTAGAGTCTCCATCCTTGGAGGTTTTCAAGACCTGGCTAGACAAAGCCGTGGCTGGGATGATCTAGTTGGGGATGGTCCTGCTTTGAGCAGGGGGTTGGACTAGATGACCTCCCGAGGTCCCTTCCAAACCCTAATTTTCTACGATTCTATGCGCCAGTATAAAGATACTAGAGATACCCTTCAGTGCCTTCCTGAATTGGGCTCTGAGCACAGAGCCGTGTGATACCCAGAGAAGGATAATGTCCCAGTCAAATGCTCACAATCTAAATTAGTTAGCTGATACAGATCAGACATGGACTACAGTCATGGACCAGATTAGTTGAAGGGTTTAGGTCTTTCCCCAGCAGCAGGATGCGAGAATTAACCAGGCCTCGCACTGTGCTGACTATGGAAACAAGGTGAGACTCAGACCTTGTCAGGCTTCATACAACAAGCGGTTTGGCTCTCCAGCACTTTCAGCCAAGGGTGGGCAAGATTCCCCAGCGGTTTGCATGTGCAGGTGGAATCCTTACTTAATGGCTGCAAAGGAAACGGACACAGAGGCAATGAACATCTGATCTGCTCCGCAAACGGAGCCTGAGTATCACAGCCACACAGTGCAGCCAGAAACAGCCCCGATCGCTCCAGACACCTCCATGATATTCTGCAGGGCGATGCTTTGGAGCTGGGCAATTGGGAGAGACAGAGAAGTCGATTCTTTTTTTTTTTTTTGTAACTTCTTACCGTGACTGGCAGGGGTGCGTGTTACACTTCCTGATCTGGGGCTCCGGGCGAGTTGCACGCTGGCACTCGCTGTCATTCACCAGTGTCATGGTCTTGTTAACAATTCTCGTGCAGGACACGATGGTTTTCCGCTCACCTGAAAGCGAAACCAAATCAAAGAACTAGAAATCAAGAAGCTAGTTAATTGTCCGGGGCTGCAAACTATTTAAGATCGTGTGACTGAAATAGTCTCTAAAGCAGAGTTCTCTCTGCCCACCACGACATATCACTGGTACAGCTAATGTCTGCAGGTGATTTGTTCCTGGTCTTCTCTGCCCTCTCTCTAAACTGCACTGTCTTGCCAGGAAAACTGCATCTCTTTCTGCAATGATCATGCTCTGGCAGTGTTAGCAGGCTGAGCAGTATCTTCTAAGTCTTAATGTAAATGCAATCTTGAAAGCAAACTGCTTGGACCTGGGTTGCTACTACACATGTCGCCATGACTCCCACATCACCTAATATAGGAATGAACAGCAAATGACTAATAATGACCTCTGATAAAGCCCTCCACTTGAGCTTCCTGCTGAACAGCTGGGCTTCTCTGTCTTCTCCTCCTTTACACTGACTGGCATCCAACTTATTTAATGAAGTGAAGGACAAGTCTTTAAAGGAGTGATCGATTTAAAGAAACTGGACTTAAGGCAGATTTTACCAGCAGCAAAATGAGCAGACAAAATATCAATCCTTTCCAAGCCTTGAGCACTACCTTCAAAACAACTGCTGACTGGAGACACCAGGTTCAAGAGCAGTTCTGCTATTTCCAGGTCAGTTTGGTCTACGCATCAACTGATAAAGGGGCCATAGTGCCACCAAGCCAACCGAAATGTGGCTCTTGGGTTCAACGTTTTACTAACATGTGAAAACACGGCGTTGGGACAGTAAGACAGCCACTTTGACAAGACAAATCAACATTGAAGTCCCTGGAGGAAAACGTCACCAGCGTACCATGTCACTTGAACTTTATAATACTATGTATTTTGAATGGGCTTCTGCCACCGTAACCTGAAGTCGGACCGCACAAACAGAGCTCCCGTGATTTGCAACCAACAGGAAAAAGAAATCCATTAAGATCTGTTAGTGGAGAATCCAGTGTAATGTGAAGACTCGATATATGCTCCTGATGACTGAAAGCGCGATTGGTTCAGAATCGTAAGTGAGTTCGTGCAGTCTGAGAGTCCCAGATGGAAGTGGTGAGATGTGCCTGAAAACCAAAGTGCTTAAGCACAGCAGATGTATCCAAGACTACTGCTGGTGGGAGGCTTGCTGCCAGAGCAGACATTAGTGGCCCTCCCCATGTGGCCGGACTATTATACATAAGACACTGCAAAGAGGTTTCAAGTTTGCTCTCGTGACACTGCAAAGAGGTTTCAAGTTTGCTCTCATGAGGGCTCACTGGCTGGAAGAAACTGGGATTTTCAAAGGAAATTAAAGAGGTCAGATTTTAAATCAGTGCTTTCTAGAAAGAAAATTAAATGAAGCGGTTCACACAGTGACACTGGCAAACCTGTCACAGGACAGGCTGAACACGCTTTAGCTCCACGATAGGATGGATAGATGGGGTTAGTGCCATGCAGTGGTGGTTGTGAAGGGGCCCTGGGGAGAGATTTAGTTTCCAGGACAGACTTAAAGTTACCTCTCCTCCTTGCAGGAACCTAACAGATGGCAGCAGCTGCAGTGTTCCCCGCTGTCTGCTTCTGGTCGACAGCAGGTGAAACTACCTCTGGGCATCCTGTTGTCTGGGACAGGCCCACTGAGAAGCACAATCTGCAGAGTGCTAACGTGCACCCAGAAAGCTCACCCTTCGTTAACTGTTGCTCATGCAATCTGCAGCGAGTTGTCATGACCGACAACCCTCCTCCCCTTTGTCCTCGGGGAAGGAAGCTTCTCTCGGCCAACATCCAGGCACACCTGTGAAAACTCTGCTCCAAGAATCTGACAGGGCCTGGAGACACGGGGCTGCACACGGTGCCGCGAGCCATCAGCGAGGCACTCATCCAGGTGCAGCTCTGTCATGCGGTAACGAGCCAACAGAGAAGTGGCCCTGCCAAAAGCCTGGGCGTAAATCAGCAGTTGGGACGCAGATGAGAAGCTGATAGATGTAGTGAAAACGAGCTTTGCTTTGACCCTACGGTCGTGGCTGTTTTCATTTGCGTCCCGGGTTCTGGCAGTGCCGGCTTCTTTCCTGCCTGCCTGTGCAAACCCCGCACAAAACGACTACCCCCTGCTCCCACCCGGCCTTACCTCCGCCACACTGCACGCTGCATCCTTCCCAGCCGCTGTGCGTCCAGATGTACAATGAATCCGGCTGCTTTTCGGGTTCGCTCCCGTTTTCGGCGGTGTAGTTTACGGGGATGGTGTACTCGTAATGAATTCCGTAATTTTGGTCGTGGAATAACAGCACCTGGTTTGGCAGCAGAAGAAAGGCTGTCACGAGATGCTGAGCGGTACCAGGGTGCAGAGTTGGTGAAGCTAGGGTGCTAGGGTGAGGCTGACGCTGTCTCATGTGCCACAGGAGCGGCACCCAGCTCTTTACCGAGTTACCTGAATAAAGGTGGCTTGTTCTTCAGGGGTAAAGGTGCTCGGTACTTCAGAAAAACCAAGTCATTTAGGTCAACGTCTACATCTCGAATTTGGGGCCTAGATTTAGGCAGTCAAATCTGAGGAATTTGGCTTTTTTTTTTAATTGATTTTTGGCATCCAGTGCAATCAAGTTGGCCTCTGGCTATCAGAACAGAAGTAATTAGACTGCAGGAAACATTATGTCAACTTTATGTTCACACGGCAATTATATTTATGACCACAGGGGATTAAAAAGTCATTCACTCTATATGCCTAAATTTGCTTCAGGAAGTCAGGTTCTCTATGAGGCCTATCGGCTTGTTCAGACTTCTGGATGGGTGAGCTGGGAGGGTGCAAGGAGGTCCTGACTGCGACACAGGATCGCTTCCCAACTGACTGGTATCCGAGTTTATTAATGTGAGTGATGCTTATTAACACAAAGCTCATTTTACAACTTAAACAAGTTAACCTCCCCCAACCCCAAACCTAACAGCTGATGTGCCCTGGAAAATTATGTTAAGTAGAATATACATATCCCTCTGCTCACAGACAAGCCATGTGAATGGGATTTAATAGGTTCTCCATACATATAGGTGTATTCTGAGGGAGAAAGGACTCATGCTTTTCCCCAACAAAACACGTTTTTTGGTCACGTTATTGGCTCTATCTGAGTTCTCACTTCTCCGTGACATTGCTGCTGTGGGTCAGAGATGAGACACTTGCATTTAACAGCGTGCGACTCTCAGCTAGGCCATTCCCAACCTCCATGCTCCGTGAAATTCACTGACTGGGATGACTAGAAGTAAGAAGACGCTGGAGGAAGGTGCTTTGCATTTACTCATGATGGGATCACAGTCCTGGGTCTGTTTTGGACTGACAGAGGGGCCCGATCTGACTCACTAGTGTAAATCAGGAGTGACCAGCACACTTAGGGGAGTCTCCCTGCTGTGAAACCTCACGACGAGATCAGATGGGCCCATTTCCCCTATCCTACGATTTACTGTGGGAGGTAAGGATGGGCTGGGAGGGCTTATTAAAAGAAAAGGATCAGTTTTCTGGGCAATACACACTCAAACATACACATATACATACATACATACACATACACACATGTATACACACATACACACGTACACACCTACATACACACACACATATACATACATACATATACACACATACACACATGTATACATACACACATACACATACATATATACACATACACACACATGCACACACATGAATGCACACATGCGCACACGCACAACTTGCATAGTTTGATTTCAGTAATAAACACGACACCAACAGACGGCTCCCTTGCATACAATTAATGTTACACAGTCACCTCACTAGCAGCTAGGCAATTATTCAGAAAGGTAGGCTGTCAACTCCAGCCTCCTAAGGCATGGGAAAACTACCCTATCCAATAAGTCAGTAGTGCAGAAAACCTATATGGGCTGAACATTTGGGCTTGACTTGCAACAGTGGACATCCTGTGTATCTGTGCAATGCATGGTGAGGCCAGCAGCTTGGAGGCTGTTCTGCACAGCACAGAATCCGGCAGGGAAAGTCTCTGCTGTCAGATATGGGAAACAGGAAAATTTCTGTTCTTGGTCTGAGGGCGTTCCATTATTTTGCACCCAAATCCAACATGATGGCTGCTGCGAACCAGACGATCGTCATGATAAATTTGAAGAGGGATGGCTGCCCTGCAGAATCCAAGATGTTAGACGATTTGCTGAGAACTCAGATCCCTCCCAGCCTTGAGTGCAGCCCGTGAGATACAAGCAGCTCCTTCTACCGAATGAAGGAAGCAGTCAGGTTTAACGCTGCTCTGTGCCCTGCAACGTTCGGTTTTCCTCTGCTGCCAAGAGGAGGTCTCCTGCAGGCCTAGCTACACAAACAGCCATCCATCCAAGAAATATACTTACAGTAATGCATTTGGAGAAACGCCCCAAGCATTCAAGTATTAAAAAACAGCTCCTTAAAAGACATCCTTATTATCTCAATATGGGGGAAAAGAGACCGGCGAATTGAAGGTCCCATATGAAACCAATTTCATGCAATTTTGTAGCCACGTATAATTTGTGCGTGTGTATAATTGGTTTCAAATGCAGGTCACAATGGATGGAGCGAGGCTTCTGGCTGTTTGTCAGTCAAGTGTGCCCCGCCATTGTTTGGACAACGGTTTTCTATTTGGAGGTAACTGGCAAGTGTCCTCCTCGTTCTTGTGTTGAAAGAATTAAAACCGCTATCCTGTTTCAAGGAAAGGATTAATATTGGACTTGAGGAAAGAGCTTCAAATAAATGACATGCTGGCGCAAATGAGCTGTGTTTATTACTCTCCCAATGACTTTGGGCCGCACGTTTGTTTTAATGGCTGATAATAGTCTCTCCCCAGTTTCTAAAGCTCTTCCAGGAGGGAGGAAGGAACCTCACTTCTCTTCAGATCTACAGGAAAATGCCAGTTTGTATGGTAATGAATGGTAATGAATGGTTTTGGTGGAGAAAATTCACTGTCATGGGACATCTCATCTAATTGTTTTCCTGCAGGGAGTGGGGGGATTGCTTCCATTAAAAAAAAAAAAAAAGACATGCACATTTGCTACAGCCACGCCAAGCCTTGGGATATTCAGATCTAGCACAAGCACAGAAACCTTATGTCACATTTTTCCATATCCAAACCTGGGAGCGTTCCTTTATCTATATAGCGTGAAAGGCTTGTTTTCAGGGGGAAGGTCTGGATCTCAGCCGAACTGTTAAGTTGACATCCTTAATGCTGAAGCAGCCATCATGGACATCTGAGTTTCCAAAGCCCCTAACAGAGTAACTAGAACATGCACTTCTGGGTACATGGGGATAGTCTCTTTGGGCACCTATACGTGTACTCTGGGGGTGGGAGGGAGGGTACGTTTTTATTAGAGGGGCTCTCGGGTGCTGCTCTAATTAAAATGTGTCTCATTAAAATTAAAGTGTCTCATGTGTTCAGTGTCCCACGTTTCAAAATGGTGGTGGAGGCACTTTAACTAATGCACATTTGATGAGCTTTAGTTAAAACGCCCCTGCTGCCATTTTGAAACGCAGGATTGCTGAATATATGAGACGCTGCAGCACGCTGAAGCATACCGGTTACAATGCTCCAGCAGACTCGGTTAATTGAGTCTGCTTCGACACGTTCCAATCAGATCGTGTTGGCGCACACGTTAAAAGTCTGAGTTCCAGTTTTGCAGCTGGCCTCATAGGTAGCTTTGAGTAAGTCCCTCAAGCCCTTTGGTAAATAGAAACGAGGATGCGAATGCTCCCTTGCACGAAAGCCCTACTAGGAACGTCATGTCGTGCTTGGGGTTAATTTTAAAGGGAAACTCTATCGTGTATCTGAGCTTTTGAAACAGCGCAATGGAAAGCTTATACAGCGAAAGCTGGAGTGGTCACAGCAGTTTCAAGGGGAGCCCTAAAAGTCCAGGTGAGGAAACACTCTGAGATGTTTAATGCTTAGCTGTGTCTAAAGACAGTTTTGGTAATTAGGGGAGGCAAAAAGTCATAGAGATAAGAAACAGCATAGAGAAAAATGTAAGTGGACAGAAAACAGAAATTACAGGAAGCAGAGCAAACTGCGCACTTATGAAGGCTTCCATTCCAGAGGTGCAGAGCATTTGGCAAACGCTCATTTATTAACATCTGTGCGAGTCAAATACTATCGTCTCCATTTTACAGGGGTAGAAACGGAATTAAAAAAACCATGAAGTGACGCTCCCCAAGTTACTCGGCAAGTCAGGGACAGAGCTGGGAAAAGCATCCTGCTCTTCTGAGCCTGAAGGTCTCTTGACTCATTTGGCCATGCTTATAAAGTAGCATGGTTGGCTAACAGAAGGACCAAGCAGACAACTGCAGCAACACTTAAATCTTTAAAAAATATCACAGGAAATGTAAAACCCAGGCATCATCCAAGGCCAAGAACGGCACAGGTTTTGCACACTCACTGAACTTGCACGTTTTCTGATATGTATGAGCAAAAATGACATTCAAACGCTGCATACTTGGCATGAGCTGACTCAGCTATTTGGCCAATGTGTTTTTGCAGGAGCCAACGGGCATCTGCATAGAAAACAAAGGCCCTTGGAAAACTGCACCCATAACAATGTCTTTGTGTCTCACTGTCTGATGTATATCATAGATTCAGCCTCCTCTGGAGATTAGCGTGAAGCTTTCTATGGAGCCTGCCTGTTGACACAAACCAAGTTTCAGTGTTACACAGGCACTGTGCTCGCCCTCTGACTTTCACAAGCAGCCCCTGAAACCCTGCAAAAGAAATCGAGGGAGGGGGGACAGGGGAATAAGGGGGAGACAACAGAATACCTCTGGGTGGGGAGGAAGCAAAAAGTATAGTTTAACTTGGAGCTTGGCTTCACAGCCTCTATTGCTGCATCGCTTAAGAAACACAAAGAAAGAACATAAAGTTACCATCAAATGCAGTGGTATTTTAGTTGGTCCTTTGGCAGAGATTTTCTCCCACAGCCCCCTTCGGACGTAGCGGACGGTGGTGCCTGCGATCTGAAACTCGCCGGGAAGCTCAATTTTCCAGTCGCTGTTAATGGATCTCTTACTGGAATCTTTTAAAGCTAGAAAGAATCAAACAGCACAGAAGGAAATGAAAGCAAATCCACCATGAAAAGACAGGCCACTGCCATTCAACCCCTAGGCCACTGCGAGAGGCAGTAATCTAGTTACAGAGGGGAGTTTAAAGGAAAGATAACAGCATTACTGATTTAGGTGACAAGGTGGCTGAAGTCTGCATTTTGGTGTATGAAGGATCTCTGATCACCTTAACATTGCTCTTACGAAGATGAATGTCATGTAAACTGGCATTGCCCAGAGTTTTACCACCTTAAAATCGTTAGGATCTGCTTTCTAAAGAATTCAAAGCTTCTAGGTATTGAGGCATCGTCTCTGCCTCCCTTCCCTTCCCGCTGCTCAGGAATTCAAGGGAAAAAGAAAGAAAAATTGTGCCATGCCTTCTGCAAATGAAAAGCAAAGAACTTGCAAAGCGACTTGACTGTGCAACGCCTACTTGTACTGGGGAGCGTATGCTCCCTAAGCAAGTCTCTGGCAGTCAGTAGTACAATGCGTGGGCACCAATCTATTCCTTATCAAATGTATTTTGGGACCCATACTACAAGCATATTATCACATAACGCTTATACCCCAAATTGTAAAGCGGCTCAAATTATTCAAGGGTTTTTCTGCGGCTTTCAAAGGGTTTGAATTTAGGTTTAAACATAACACTGAAGGACTGCAGCATCTTGCCAATGCACAGGAACCATCAAGCAAAAGCAACTGGTTTCTGACTAGAGAAAGAAAGACACTTACTAGCTCATTTTTCTCATCCAAGCTGAGTGAATGGCAAACAGCAAACAGAGAGCATGAATTAGTACACGGTGAGTTAGATTTACATCGTTCTTCCTGTAACAATCTTCAAATGTTACTAGCACCACAAGTTGTATTTGAAATGTAAGGACCACGTGTGTTGGCGTGTGCATATCAAATGTGTGTCAGCATGCAGTCATCTGATATTTTGGAAATACATGTGTCCACAGTGCAAGGAACTACATGAGTGTAGGGTGAAAATCGATTTGAGTGTGGTTTAAAGATTATACTCCAGCCCAAATGCTCTTAACTTTTGGGAGATGAGCGACACTAATAGATTAGAAAAACCCGGCCATTCAGATGCCACTGCAACAGGCTCCACAGAAGAACCTACCAGACCAGAATAGTTCTCCAATCCTCCTTGATTGTTTGAGGATAACTGATAGCAAACCCATCATGCAGCTCATGCTTCCCTTTTTATCCTTGCAACTGCAAGGATCTTTCTGTGACACTGTCACATCTATTAACATCAGCCGCTGTAGGATGAAGCAGGGTCAAAATCTCACTGTCTCTAAAAAGAAGCCTGGCTTTAACAGGCAAAACTTGTACAGTCTTATCTAGGCTGCCTGTTCTGTACCTGATTGAAGTACGACAGCTTAGCACTTTGGGCCAAAGGTTCTTGTTTAAATCTGTATATAATATGTGCAGAGCCGTAATGATGCATTTAGCTCTAATCTCTCCTATCAGCAATAATATGGTTTTGTGAAGGATTTTTTTTTTTAATTCCCCCCTTCCACCCCCCAAAAATTAATGTCTGAAAGATATTTCCTAAATCTTCTCTGGCGGAAAGCTAATGAAACCTCTCTAGGCTCCAAGACTGCAAGGGTCTAAGAGTAATTTTGCTGAGATTGCAGGCACTTGCGTTCTGCTGGTGTTGGATAGAGTCCTTGACTCGCCTTTCGTGTGGCTATCACCCAAGTGCTCTGAACGCAAAGGGTGGGAACCGGCCGCAAGACACCTTTGATCGTGCCCTGTGGTATAAGGGTCTAATGTGTGTTGGGACAACATCATGTTCTGGCTGATCCTGAGCACCATGCACGATGCAGTACAGCCCTACGACTGCTCTTCAGAGGCCGCCTTGGTCGCAGGTGCTCCCTGGGTTAGGGAGACGGAAAGGCAGCTCTCTCACTGCAGGATGTAGCTTGTTGATCTGTCTGCTCTCAGATTTGGGGACAAAGGCAAGACAAATCTTGGCTGCTTGTGGCCTTGATGGAACCAGGACAAGATGGGCAGGCACAGCAGGCAGCAGGTGAGGCTGGCACACTAAGAACCCTTTCAAAGTCTTGTTGCTGTTAACATCTGTGCCAGTCTAGATCCTTGCCACGGACACATTTCCACCTGCTGGGATGTTCACAGCTTGTGAACATCAGCATCGCTTGGGATGTTTTAGGCAGGCCCACAAATTATGAAGGAGTATTAGGTGCTGATTCTCACTCCATTGAATAAGCTCCACTGAGTAATGTTGGGCCCAGGTTGGTGCCTACACATGCAATGCACCATGGTTAGATACGGGGATCCAGGTCATTATCTTGGGCTTTCAGAAAACACCCGAAGTCAACTGAAGTCCTCTCCTTGAAATTGCTGGCTCTGCATCAGGCTACTGGATAGAACCGCAAACCACCAGGACTCCAGCACTTGAAAATAAGTTACAGCACAATAAGGACCCAATCCCACTTCATTTTCATTGGTGTAAATCCAGCTGAAATTGGGGGAGGTTGTGTGTTCAGACTTCAGGGGGTGAAAATATCTCCCCTTGAAAACAGCCCAGTAGGAAAAAAAAGCAAGAAAGATCCTAGCACAGAAAGCGTGGAAGGCAACTCTACTAATTTAGAAGCAAAGATATCTGCAATTTCACCCGCTTCCCCTCGGAAAGAGCTGCGGTATGTGCATCCGCTGTCTCAGCTTTCCCTTGCTTGAGAGATGGCTCCATACAGAGGGAGCGTTGCATATTCATTTTCCCATTTGCACACCCATTGTAAAAGTGAAGCGTGGTTTTGGCAAGGTTTGGTGATGAAGACAAAAGTGCTGCAAAGCAAAGAGGTGAATCCTGGTCTTGCAGACAGAAAAATCCAGGCTGCCTTCCCTGTGAAGATTCACATACCATGGATGATGGGGACAGTCGTCTGCAGGTGTTTTCTCAGCAACTGGGTACAGCTTTCTGTTTTCAAGGTTAACTAGATCTCCTGACCGATCTGTTCTTTAATAAAGTGTTTGCTTAACCTGAAAGGTTGAAGACCCAGGTTATTAACTCGCAGTTAAAAAAGATGAACCTTGCTTCTAATTAAATTAATGTGTAGGGGGAACAGGGGACGGGACTGGCCTAGGACTCTGTCAAGTTGATGGAAAAGTTCCTGTCGGCTTAACCAGGCTTTGGATAAGCCCCTGCCAGCTTCCACACCCCCTTGGGCTTTCATTACATTCTGTATTATTCTTTAATAAGTTTGGAAGGGCAGGACATAAACTTCCCACCAACTGCAGGACTGGCCTTTTTTTCTCAGTGGGTTCTAATCAAGCGTGAAGCATGTGTATAATCACAGGGGACCGTTCGTTAATGATCTTCCTCATCTGAGGTGGCCAAAGACTCAGGTAACACGTGATGTAGGTATTATTACGAAGCGTGCTTTGAGAACTGAGAGGTGAGATTGCCCCGACTGCAGGAGAAAGCAAGAGAGTACCATGAGGATGCTGGGGGTCCTAATGACATTAGCTTGCAGCCTCTGGCATCTTCTGCACTTCTCTTTGTGCTACCAGAGCTTCTCCAGAGGATCCCTGCCCTGAGGAAGGGCTTGTGGACAGGTGCAGCCTCACACTGAATTTTCTGGTCTGAGCTCTGTAATGCACAGTAGGAGGAATATGCATCCCCCTGGCTACTCCTCCGGACCGTTCACTCCCACCACGGGTTGTCCCCTGAATCCAACCCAAGGGTCAAGGTGCCATAAACTTCCTCAACTCAGATGGGGAGAGTCTCATAAGAATGGTCCCTTCTAAGCACAGATCTGAGTAGTGTGACTGCCCTGGTATTAATGGCACCACAAGACAGTTTGTAACTTGTTTGATTGTTAAAGAAAAAAAAAGAAAAGAAGCCCTTGATTGTTGATTGCAAACCTCAGAAAACTGTCCAGAGCCACAGCAGGTTGGGAGGAGGCTGGTTTGTTCTCCACAATGGTGAAGCCACCTCTGCAGCATGTTGGGATGAGCATTTCATGGGCGCAGGACAACACAGAACGCGCCCAAGTGTTCATCCAGTGAAAGTCCTGGGTAGGATGCAAGTACATCTGCTGGGAAACAGCTCCTTACTCAGTGTCTGAGGCAAGCACTCCTACTCTTGCAAAAGACCCCGGGGGGAGAGGGTTAATGAGAGCACAGAATAAGCAACTTTACTCCCCTTTTATAGGGAAACTGAGGCACAAAGTGAGGAAAAAGGCCACCCAATGGATCAGCAGCAAAGCTGCAAACAGAGCCCAGGGACAGGTTCTTTTTTCTGCCAGGAACTGTTTGGATTTGAATGAACACAATCAATCAGGGAGGAAATTCTAGCTCTCCAGCTCTCGGGCATAACTCCTTCTCTTCTTCACCCCTACACCCGAGTGTGGCTGAAGGGATGGCTGGATGTGAAGCCAGCTCTTCCAACATTACTCCAAGTGAGAATTCTCCTCTCCTCTAAAGGAGCTCTCATCCAGCAGCACAAAGGCAGCAGAGTGCACTGTGCAATGGGGCATGCACCTTCTGGGTACTTACTACTACCCAGCTCCTTTGGGGTCTTCACTCTGCACTGGGGCTGTCCCAGCAAAAACCACTTCACTGCACTGTGCAATGGGACATGCACCTTCTGGCTACCCCAATTCCTCCAGGGTCTTTGCCTTGCACTAGGGCTGTCCCAGCAATAACCGAAGATATTGTTCCTCATCAGGAACCCATGTCTGACAGCTCATATTTTGTCTGTCCTATGCTGCAAACTCTTCAGGAGTAGAAGGCCTACAGAAATGGTTAACACTGAGCAGCCAGGACAGACTGCCAATGAGACATGACTTTCTTCTGGAGGTATCAGGTATTTTTTTTTATCTTGCATCTCTGCTCTCTGGCTCAAACTTTTACAGTAGAAAATTAAGAAATAAAACCAAACTAAACTCCTTTAACTGTTCTCTTCCTCTTAGGCTAGGGGACAGGAACCTACCAATCAACCTATATCTAAACCTGGCATCCAGTCAAACTTTTATTTCCACTCAGAGTTCCCCCGACTCACTTCCCAGCCCGTGGACACTGCAGAGGCGTTTCCTGTTCAAGGTGGTTTTTAAGTATTAAAGCCAGCTAAGTCAGCCAGCGTGGGCTGAATGTGGGTGAGGGGGTGGGAGGAAATTCTTCAGGAACTGCTCCCAGCAAATGCAATAAAGATTTCAAATTACATTGGGTTCATTTCCAAAGTGCTATACCCAGGCCTGGTTGGAAGCAGGGCTTCATTGGGCTAAATTTCACAAGTGTGATTAAAAGAGGGAATCTTTCCAAGCTTAGGCCCTGTGTTAAAATGCAACTGCATCCCTCATGCCTTACTGAAATCACAGCGGGTGGAATCTGATTTCCCAGATATCTTGTCTATCTAGCCAAAGGCTCACTGTTGATATCCTGAGGCTTAGGATAACAGGACACTGCATATTTTTCTGTGGCTAGTGTCATGAGAAAGAGAGAGTTTTGGAAGGCACAAGCAGGTCTTTCTGGCTACCAGCCATGAACTTTGAGCTGAAATAATATTGGGGGACTTCCATGCAGTCAGATGACTAACAAGCACTGCAGGTGGGAGAAACTCTCTTGGCCCTTACTTAAATGCCCAGATATTTAAAATATTGTGCGTGACCAGGCTAGCAGTAACAGTACCACAGCAAGATCCTGGTGCTGGGCGTTTCAGTCTGTCTTGTACCAGGTGGAAAGGGGCAGAATTATAGAGACAATGCGAGAGAAAACATGCTCCTGGGATTGTTAAGCATCTCACACTGATTTGGTGCAAGCGTGGCATGAAGATCCGCATGAGGGTCCATCTCGTTTGAGCTGAACTGTATGCCTAAGCCTTAGGTGAGGCACATGCACGTAGGGTCAAATGTTGCTCTCAATTATAGCCAAATCTATTGACGTGACACACAGTGGGGTTATACCCATGCAAGCCACTGAGTTACATGCTTGCAACAGAGAGCAGGCCTGAGCTCCCCACATCCAAGGCGAGCTTCTCAGTAATGACACTGCATCTGATAAAGCCCGAGCCCCCTGAGAAGCGCTCAACGTGGCTCCCACCAAGACAAACACAAAGGCTGGCTCCCAGAAGCAGAGTCTTTGCAAAGCTCAAGGTAACACTGGCTCTCTTTGTTTCACCACCGCTTTGCTATGTCAAACATCTGTGTAGGCGGACACCGCTTCCAGAAGGCTGGCTGCGCTGTTAGCAGAAATAACAGGAGCTCCAACACATGCTTCCTACCAAGGAACAGGGGGCGCAGATGCCAGGCTTTGAACCTAGGGGTAAGGAGTGGCCAGGTTCACCCTCTGTTGCTTTAGCACATGGCGTGTGGTCCACCATCAGAGTAAAAAGTGGCATGATAGACAAGGGGAAACACCCTTGATAGGAGGTCTTGCCCAGTGCTGATGCTTTCCTCTGATGCAGAAAAAATAGCAGCATTAGGACAGAAAGCTAAGATCCAATCAGCGTGCCAAGGCTTTTAAGCAGTACCCAGGTATTTGAGGCTCAGGAGCTCCTACAGGCCACTAAGAGGAAGAGGGTTATGAGGCAGGTGCATGTGGGAGTGAGAATCAGGTCTGAAGAGCTCATGTTGCAAGAGATTCATAGATTGGAGAGTTGGAAAGGACCACAACAGATCATCGTGTCTGACCCCCTGCCCCTGGCAGAAAGAGGACCGAGATGACACAGATGGATGCGAAAGGGGACCAACCAGCGGGCAAGGAAAGCCACCACGGTGAAGAAGCTCCACATGGTAGAAGCTGCCAGCAAATATCAGTCCTACCTTGCCTTGGCTGGGTATGTTTTTGTGTGGAGGGCTATAAGACTGAGGCCTCAGCAAGGCCCACAGATATGAGGATGATGGGAGCCATTTAAAATGGTAGATATTTAGAAAGCAAAAGGGGCAGGAGGTATACCTGCTTGTCAACGGAAACAAAAGTCTCATGTTGATCCCACTGGGACTTTTACACTTGAAAGGCTCCTGGCAGAGGTTCATTTGTTGTGCATTATATGAAAGTATCATGTGACAAAATGGGGTCTGGGGTGGTTGCCACTAAGGCACAGAGTTGACAGCCCAGAGATCGCAAGTTCGAGGCCGTTAGCAGAAACGCTCACAGCACGGTCCTATCAGATTCCAACGAATCTGTGAATTCTGCTAAATGCCTTGTCACAAGGACATGAAAAGGAAGGAAAGATGCGACAAAACCATAACATGCCTGATGTTAAACCAGTTTATCCCTGGGCAAAAATGGTGGACCAGCCACAAAGAAACTGCTCATTGAAACAGCAATGTGGCTGCTTGATATTTGCACGTGACATGCGATAAATGTAACGTTTGCCAGGGGCCAACTAGGCAACTTGTAATTTTCCTGTATCCTGTCTTACGAGGTGGAAGTGCGGCACAGCATAACACAGATGAAGAAAAGATGTGGTAGGACCCATCTGTTTGCAGGGTTAGGTACCTGACCCCATGGTGAAGATGGGGGCGTGCGAAGTAACTGGGTGCATACAGAGCCCCAGCAAACATCTGCACAGGACCATCGAGGTGCTCTAGCCGTTTGCTGTGGTTTTTTCCAATCAGCTCCATCAGGACTCTGACAAGCTCCAGCTGATTGGAGAAGCAGTGCCCTTTGGAGTAAAAAACCACAGCAAACAGCTCATTCGTATATTTGGCAACTAACTGTGAATTCAGAGACTCACTCAGATACACATGATCCAGGTTCTAGCATCCTACCCCCCTGACTAAGCCAGTACAGGGTGGAGTTCATATGGCCATGAACCTGAGCTGGTTTTATTTGGGAAGCTTGGTCTGCCGAGTAAGGGGCCTGCTCAGACATAGAAAATTTGGGTTTAATTCCCTGCTCCACCCCAAGCTCGCCGCGGGATCTTGGGTAAGGCACTCAACATGAGAATAACAGCAGTTTGTCTTCTCTTCAGATCACCCCAGAGAGGCAGTCCATTAAGGTTGGTGAGATGAAAGGATACCATGATGACACATAGCTAAAGGCATTTTCAGGTAATGATCCATACTGTCAAGTCCCTAATTCCAGAGGTCAGTAAGACCATAACAAACTTGCTGGTATCCTCTGATCCACCGTGGCCTAAACTACAGTATGGAAGTACTAACCCAGGGCCAGAACCTCTTTCTGTTTCCATGGGGTGCAATCCTACTGTTATCAACAGAACGGCTGAGGATTAGCCCCATTATTTCTGTTCCTTCAGCTTCTAAGGGAAATTCAGAACAATATAAGCAATAGATTGATGGCTGCAATCAGCCTATCTTGGACTTGAACCAGTGTCAGGGATTGGGTGTAAAATGAAAGGGAAATATAGTACTAGAGGACAAGAGGGGTATCATCTGCAAAGTCCCAGTTCAATTCCAGTTTGAACTGGGTGCTACGCTCTTTGTACTCCTTGCCCTGCCCTGTTGTGTTGCATGTCATTTGGCATCTTCTGTGTCCCAAGCTAGAGTCAAGTGCATCCCAAGGACTCTTGTGATCCCTTCAGGACTAACCAGCACCCTATAAACATACGTATTAGCAACCACCCCTAAACCGAACCAAAGAAATGGTGAAAAACTGCAAGAAGAAACACAACAGCTGATTCCTGGAAACAAGGATCCTGCTCCTCTCCATCGCAATGAGAAGAGCCGACATAATACAAGCAAAAGTTGAGTTTAGAAGCAAAATTTTCTTTTTTTTTTCTTTTACCCAGAAAGCTGTGAGCAGGTTTATCCTCCACCACTCGGATCCGGCGAGCACCCGCGGGGATCACAGCTGCTTCGATATAACCTAGGGCAACAAAAGGACACATGGATGAGAGTATCTCACACGCAATCAGAGGCATTCAGTAATTTAGTATCTCCTCGGCACAAAATAAAACCCCAACTCATTGTCATGTCTTGTTGCGGATGGGAAACACTTCAAATGCAGTAACTGTTTTGGTAGCCAAGTTTCAATGCTGGGACTTGCACTGCTGTGACTAATCGCCGCGGCCTGAGGAGGGGGGAAAAATATGTGTGCGCTCCTCAGCTGTGATTGCTAGGGGTTGTGTTTGTGCCTAATTACATGTGCTTCTTGTGTATTGTTTTCTGTTCGTGTGTGGCACTGGCTGGAATATGTTAGGCACCTTCTAGAAGCTGAAGCAAAAAAAAGAGGTTGCCAGCAGCAATGCTGTAATGCACATCACGGGCAGGTAGCTGGTGGGCCTCTGAAATGACATTTGTGTTAGGTGATTTTACCTAAAAAAAGTGATTGCTTTGCATTAAAGCCTGCATTTTAATCCATGCACTTAAGGGAAACTAGGAGGACGGGTTCTTAACTAAACGGCAGGAGGCAAGCTTGAGGGCTGGTAGGAATATATTTATTTTCATCTGCATATTAGGCCTTATGAGAAAGTCCTCTGCGATTTAATGGACGGTGACCTCCTTCCCCTTAAATCAAGCAGTTTTTTACAGATGTAATACTATTGGGTGGTTGAAAAACCCTACAAGGCTGATCTCATTCACCATTAAATTCTACAAGCCAAATCCATGAACTCTGCCCATTTAAACCCACTGAGCTTCTGACCTTCTACATTCTTAAGACTTTTCTACAGAATCCCATTGTATCGTTACAGAAAGTATTGGATTTTATTTTTATGACATTCTGCAGGGTTTTTTTCCCCTCTCATTGGGGTTTAATGTTTAATTATGCGAGGGCTACTGTTAATTTTTAACTATTTTTCATATCAAAAAAGCTGCCTGGGAGATGATGCTTTATTTATTGCTCCCAAAACCTCCTCAATGCAAAGGTTTAATTTAGTGACAGCCTCGACTGAATTTTGGGGCCGTTCACTTCTACATTCTGCTTCCAACTCCGAGGCTTCAATCATGAATTGAAATGCTAAAGGAAGAGCAAACTTTTTTATTACGGCCAGTGCCAACTATGCAAGCCTACAGACCGTTGGCCATTAAATACTCAGTGATACACTGCTGTAACAAGATGAGTAGGGGGGTAATTTAGAACGACCCTGTGCACTTCCAGTTCCAATGGTCTTGAACCCAAAGGGGCTGCAGCTATCAGACTGACAAGCAACGTGCCCTCCCATACTCAATGCTTGGGTCTGGTTCAGCTGCTTTTGATTGCAGACAAGACTGCAGCATAACAAAAGCTGTCAGGTGGTTCTCCCAGCTAATGGGAAGTGTAATCTAGGCTCCATCTGTATGGCAGGATCAGAGAAGCCAATGCAGAAACATGCCAGGGCCATCTGGGATTACACATGTTCCACGGGGTGGTAGCAATACCTTTAAAACAAAGGCTGACGAGCGTTAGGGTCTGATTCAAAGCCCAGGAGTCGAGCCTGTGTAAATGACACTAATCTTGTTAAGACTATGATTGATCCCCTCTAATTGGCCACCCAGTTCATTTCTCAGTGTGGAGCTTGGCTCTTCCCATGGGTTTTTTTTTCTCTCCCTCCCCACTACTTCTTTTAAAGCATAAGTAATTAGCTTTACCTTTCTTGTTTGGTTTGTTTTAAATAGCGTAATGAGGCTGGGCCCCTTCTGGCCCTGCCTTTCTGAAAACAAGACGGCGTCCTAAAGAAAGAGCCCTTGATGTCGGAGCATCCCTGAAGCTGGCTTATTTTAAGGGGAAATACAAATGACTCGCCATGGTTTTCCTACATATTGGAGGGGAAACAGGCAAAAGAAAGGCCTCGCTGGCAGACTTGGCAAGCCCCACACCACAGAAAGCGGTGAAATGGGGTGGTGGTGGGAACGGAAAGGTGGGGCAGGGCAGGGCTGATCGCTTCACCCTTACTGAGACTCACCTGGGCTTTGCAAGGCATATTGAATAGGGAGCTGATTTTGTCCGCTGGCATCACCTGCTACCCTGGGCTGTCACCTGTGGATTGCCATTTTGCACCTTTTCTTGCTTGCCTCTCTAGTCCCAACCCAGGCAACACCTTGTTCCCTTCTCCTCGGGTTACCTCCCAAGCGGGACATCCTCCCATGCGGGAAAAACAAGAAGAAAGCGGCAGCAGGCCTGTGAGCAGAGTCCCAGCGCTTGGGCCAGACTGATCAATTTGGAATTCGGCTAATTACAAAGCATGGTTCGTCAGGAACGACCACACCTTTAAGGTTTGGCTTCCATAAAAACCAAAGCAAGCAGATGTCGGACATTACCCCGCGTACTGCCAGGAGTTGGGTTTTTTCTTTCTGTTGGTCGAGATACTAAATTACATTCAGAGCGGCTCGTTCTAAGATGTCAGATCTCTCTCACCACACCCCATGCATCTGCATACAAGCCCAACCGGCAATTACTGTCAGGTGGAAACGCACAGCGAGGAGTGCTGAACGGCAGGCCCTCGCTGCAAATCGGTTCGGAAACACCAGGCCACCACCGTTAGGAAGCCGCTTTGGAACATGCCCAAGTTCTCGGTATCTGTCAATGTATTTACCCTGGCTTTCTGAAAATTGTGCGCCGAATCAGAAACGCACAGAGCTAAGCTCCTAATCCAAATGAACTATTAAAATCTGTTGAAGGACTCCTAGCAATGTGAAAGGGCTTTGGCTCTTGACTCTTGAAGCTCTTCAGGTTTTGCTGATGCCACAAACATACTTTTATTTCACCGCTGTGGCACCATAAAACACCACGGGGAAGCACTGCCTCGTGCTTGACTTCTCAAAAATGGCAAATAGCCGAGCTGAAGCTATTAATAGGGCTTTCGTTTGGGAGATTGTTTAATTTGGTCTTCTACCAGATATTTCTCCGTGTGTAAGTTTGAATCCTGCCTGATGGCACCAGGGGTTGTATTCGCAGCTCCTGAATAAGAAGAAACACGCTGTACTCGCTCGCTGTGATGTATGGCACAGGACCGACTGCTGACTTTCTGTTTTTCTTTCGTGAACAAAGCAGAACTCGAATCCCCTACGTGCCGGTATGAATTTGAATTGTCCTGTCAAGGGGATGCAATATATGTCTCGGGCATGTCCCATAGAAAGCTCCTGAAGCTCTAAGTTGCAAATCCCAGCAAGACCGTGTACATTAGTGGCCAAATCCTATTGCAAATGCCCTACATGCATCAGACATGCAAATTCACCACAAGCTCCAATAGATACCACCACACCAGCCCCAGCTTGTGAGCCAGTAACATGTTGTGGCTCAAGGGATATCCCTGATATCAGGCAAAACATCTCTCTTCCTTTTTTTTTTTGGCCTTTGGGATGAATGCTTTCTTTAAATTGTAACTGCAGATGCCAGAAAGATTATCAGGTGTCAGGTAGTCAGACCAAAAGTCGATTCAATGCTGGTCCTGAGGTAGGCCTGGTTTTAGGATAACTGCTTGCAATGCTGTCGTTTGCAAGTTTGGATTAAAACTCTGTTTAAATGGGGGAGCTGCTTAAATGCTGATGAGATTTGGCAACCATCAGGCCACATTTCAAGTAATTTCAATCCATAACTCAGGCTTTCAAGATGAAGCTTCAAAAGTACAACAGGAGAACTTCGTTAGTTGGTAATTTATAGAGCTATATGTACTGTACTCCACCTTAGGAACAGTTATTTTGGCATGCAACAATCTCTCTGCATAATCTGCATTACATCAGTGTCTCAGGAATGTAAGGCCGTGATTGAAGCGAATCCTAGATACAAATTATATGGTGTAACTTGTATTAGGAGAGACACCAGAACAAAGAGACGGCTTTGTCATCAAGCAGATTAATGTGCGTACAATGGCTACTGTATCTTCATGTGAAAGTTGGAGAGATCTGTGAGAGGAAAGCAAGCTCACATAGGAGATCCCTTTGTTAGGCGCAGTTAACAATATCCAGAAAGAAAAGAAAGTTAGCGTGAATTTTAGCGTGACAATGAACTACTATCAAATGGGTCTGCTAGTCTGCATCATACTGAAAGATAAACTCTCAGGTGACGGGGACATTATCCCATGGCTGAAGGTGGTGATCTCTGGGCAAGAAGCCTCATATCTTCCCCCCTCGATACATATCACAGTTTGGTGGGGCAAAGCCAGTATGCCCGCCTTATAAGCCAAATCATAAAAAGTCTCTTGCTGGAGATCCAAAGCAGATGGCCATGGAGCCTGGGCTCCCTACTTCGCCCCCGGGTCTCATTCTCTGTAGAGAGATGCCAAAGACAGGGGCGGCCCGAGCAGAGACAGTGGTACTAACTGTATTGTTATCAAAGGATGTCGATACAAGCTGGTAGGAAGCAGCTGTTACATCTGCATGACCCTGTAGCAATACAAGTGTGGCAAAACTGCTCCAACTTTAATTTTGCTCTATTCAGGGTCAATGTTGGGGCAATTTTGCTCACCCGTATTGCTACAGGATCATGCAGACATAGCCATCAGAACAAAAGAGCTGCTGCATATGTTTGTCCTTATCATCGGTCCCCACGGCTTTTAATTAGTGTCAGTGGTGCCAGTGATTTTCATAAAAGTCCTCAACAATTAGTAATCCACTACTGTTCACCTCTAGCCATGGGACAAAGGGCCTGGATGACAATCATTTCTTTGTGAAGCCATGGATACATTTCATAGCCTGCTGGCATTGCTATTGAGTCTCACATCGGTACTGTGCCGACTCCTATTAAGCGCTGCCTGCTCAAAAGCCCGCAAAGCTGTTCATGGTGCTCAGTGCTTCTGTCCTGCTCTCCGTATCCACAGGTTTATGTGATTAGCAGGATTAGAAGAAAACTGCTTCTTTCCAGAACTCTAGCCTCATCACATTTCCTTTTTCTTCTTCTTCTTCAGAGGCACTGCAGCAAAGGGTAAATACTGGTAAAACGTCTGGGATTTTTGTCGGTGTATTTAAACCGGAAGCTACTGATGAAGTGGAGTTTTCTCCCAAAAGCTATTGCTCCAGCAATCTGCAGAGCTGATTTGCTTCTTTTCTGCTATTAGAGGGCTGACTTAAATTTAAAGCCAAACAAGCAACTGGCTTCTCTTTTGGGTCATGGGACAATGAAAAGCCTCACCTGGCCAAGAAAATTAGTACGGATGCAGGCAAGAAAAAAGAAATAGTGCCTCGGATAGCAGTCCCAGGGTGGTCCCGAGTCTGGATGGGGATGTCATAAGAAGAAAATCATGATAAACCATCAGGGCTCCTTGCGCTTCCAAATTTACACTAGCCAGGTACCTGTCCCACTTATCTGTGCTCTACCTATCCTTGGGAATGACGGCAGAGGGACAGAGATGGTCTTTAGAAAAAGCATTGTATGGGGACAGGCATCAGGCATGCCGAATGAACCCATAAATACTCCTCCGAGACACTACAGACGGGCTGGCAGAGGCGCAATGCTTGATGCATGAATGGTTGGGTTTCTGTCAGTATATAGAGAGGGACCCTTGTGTTGAATTCAGCAAGTTGAGCTGAACAGTAAAAGGCCTTGAAGTTTATCCATGGCTTTTCAGATGCTACAGAGTCCACACCCAGTCCAACCAGAGGAGGAGGAGGACAGAAAACCAACACCAAACATCTGCCCGCTGACACTACACGCATTTGGGCACCTTACATGAGAAACACTTGGGAACAGCCTTTGCCTTTGTCATCACACACGTGGAAACCTTCTTACAGTGACTATTGGTTACTGAGAAACAGAAAGGAGGGGGCAGGGGTTTAGTCCCAGGAATAGGGCTTGGTGAGCAATCACAGGCCATACAGGGGCTGATTCTGCAGACAGCAGCGCTTCGCGGACACAGCAGCTGCAGGATGTGTATAGCACCGACTGGCGTCACCCTGTACCGTTCTGCCAGTCCCCGTCTCGGGAGCAGCTTAATGTCCAGCAGGATTGGATCCGGGCAGAAACTCTTCTTATCAGATCATTAAAATGACTAAAATTACTAATTAAAATTAAAGACATAAAGCAATAAGCTTACATAACGATTTGCTTATTCTCACGCATCTCTACATTGATTCATTCTCAGATTTATACCAGCGACACAAATCCAGCTGTTGGAAAGATCAACCTAAAAACATTACAGAATCGCCACGGAGGTAATAGGCACGACTCGGGTTCTCCAACATTACTGTCCGGAGAAGCAGAATGGCACGAACAGCCAACGCCTCTAACGCACGGGAGTTATGGGTACCTTGCTTTAGCCCCGAGCTGCCAGGCAGGTGAGATCTAAGGAGAACATCCAGCTCTGTGGAAATCTGGCTTGACGCTACTCACCCATTCCCTTGGTGTGATTGAAATCGCCTTTCACCACTTTGCAGGTTTTGCCATCGCCGCTGCAGATCCCACAGCGATCCTCTTTGGCGGCTGAACCGATGATCCCATCGCAGCCGATTTTCTAATGATAACAACCAGAGGTCCTCATTATTTCGAGTGCAAGGCTAAAATGTCTCTAAACCAGGCTGAGCCCCGGATACACATTTGATTGCAAACCTGAACAGGAAAAGAAGGCTGTGTGTCAGGAAGGCATTCAGCTGGGATGGCACCGGGTTGGTTATTCAGCAAAACACTCTTGCTTCATTGCCAGTATGACTGTGCTATAGAAGATGTAACCAGTAGTGGATCCAGGAATGGGATGAGGGGGGTAGGGCCCCCCACAACCCTATCTTGGCCGGGCTGCACATGTGAAAGAGCTCTGAGCTCACTGTCTGGGCAGTGCTGGCTCCTGCCAGGGTCTGCATGAGCAGTCAGCCTTGAGCTCACCAGCTGGTCACAGTGGGGTCCAGCCAGGACCTGTTTTCACATGGCTCTGGAGCCTAAGAGATAAGCACTGCTGCTGTCTGCTCTTACCAGATGCTGTTCAGTGCTAGATGGGAAAGGAGGGGACAAGCGGCAGCTCCGGAGCTGCATGAATGCAGAGACTCTGGCCAAACCCCACACCATGACCAGCCATGCAGCACAGCCAAAGAAAGGGAGTGCGACCGTGCCCCCACATCCCCTCTGGATGCACCCCTGGATGTAACTGTGGGCAAGGCATCAAAACACCCTGCATGCATTCACACTAACTTGCCGAAATGTAACAGAGAACGCAAATCTTTTGGCATTTTTACAGCACCTTCCAGCCGTGGATTTCAGAGAACCTTGCAAATGTGAAGCAACTGTTTCTGGACCCCTGGGAAACAAGCAGTGATACGCACCTCAGAGACATACCCTCAGCACCCATCCTGAACCACGGGTGCAAGACCATTCAAGATTTTGTGTAGGCTGTAATCTCCTGCTTATTGAAATCAAGGCTCCAGTGGGGACTTGAATAGTCATCCTCTCTTATAGTTTTGGAGCAGCTGAAAGAAAAATTAACTGAATAGAGCAGGAGGGTTGCACTAAGGTCCATAATTTAGAGCAGTTCCCACTAACAGCATTACAGAAACCTGCATTTATATGTTGGGGTTGGTTCAATTCACAGTAACCTAGACTGCACCTGCAAACTGCTGTGTGTTTGCACATGTGGCATTTTCTGGATGTGTCCGTTGTGTTTGTTTCTGACATTGTTGTCTGTAGATATTTTCTGATTTAACTTAATGGTTCATTTGAAAAGGCATATTGACTTCAGGGGTTTTCAGAACGTCACAAGACCTGTCTAAAGTGATTACTACAGGAAAGCTGCACAATCTTGCTCCCATCCATAGATAATGTTATACTATTCATTGCATTTTCCTTCTGGCATGAGTGATTGTGACAAAAAGGCCCATTACTTGTAAAGACATTAGGTAAATACTAGGTAAATACTAGGCTAGCATGGCATTTTTGTACATCTCTACGCCGGATGTGTAGATAGATAGATAGGTAGATAGATAGATAGATTTCTGTGGGGCAGGGCATGGTACCCAGCGCATCCATGTGGCAGATGACCTTCAGGGAAGGTTAGCTGTGAAACAAGCAGGGTAACTCTGATGAACAAGCAGTCGCGGACCAAGCAGCAGCAGCAACACCAGGATGGGATGAGGACAGCAGATGGCAATGCTTTCCCTCCTGAAAAGCCACATCTATCCTTTGATGGTACTAACACGGTGAGTACACGTCACCGCTATAATAAGCCTGCTCAGGCCTCAGCCACAGGTCTACAAGTCCTCAATGGCAGAGCAGGCAGAGGAAGATGTTGGAGTCTCAACGGTTGTGAAAGTGGATGAAGGCTGCAGTGGAACGAGATCCCCAGTTGTCTTGGTCTCCTTGCCACTGGATCGAGGTCTTGTTCTGTCAAGAGCCACGTGGAAGCTGATGGGCAGCAGCTTCTTCATGATAAAAGAAGCCACGCACAAGCATCTTCCATGAAAATAGATTTTCCAGCACATCCCTCAAGCCCTTTGGTGACCAGCCAACGGCAATGGGAGCAGGCTTGGGAAGCTCCTAGTTATGAACTGATGCAAAGGGGGCAGTTACAAGAAGGTCGTCTAGCATCTGGACGAGACAGGAGTGTGATCTGGCAACTGTAACTGTGACTGAGCAGCCCTCTTCAGGATCCGCTCTTCTAACCCCCTCCCTATGTGAGGTGAGCAAAGGTGCCCTAAACACAGCCTGTCTACCGTCTTCCTGAATGGATAACTGCATCCAGTGGGATCACCTTTACTGCGGTTAAAAATACCAGCAAAGACACACGGTTGTTTTCGGGTCCTGGAACATCAGGACCCTCCTGCACAACCCTAACAGTGAATGCCCAGAGCGCCACCCTGCAATCGTGGCCTGAGAGTTGAGGCAATGCAACGTCGATGTAGCTGCACCGGGTGAGACCCAGTGAGCAGGAGATGAGCAGCTCAAAGAGCGGGGAAGCAGTGTTTGTGCTCCACACCCCTCAAAGCTTCCCTAGATATCGATTGTGGTCCAGATCCAGGTCCCCTTCCCTGGAAGGGACTGCGGAGGAGGGTGTGGGGGCAGGTGGCTCAGCTCCTCTTCTTGTTGTGTCTCTGCCTACTGAGGAGGGGGATAAGGCAGGAGCCCCACCTGCACCCCAGAAGGAAAGGGGTAGTGTGGTCTGGGATCATTTTGAGGTCGCAGATGATCCCACACATGCTACCTACCTGCACTGCCGAGCCAAAACCAGCCGGGGCGAGGGAGCGAAATGCATGAGCACTACGGGGAAGCTGATACATCTCCAAAGGCACCACTCCCTTGCCCTTGCTCCTCCTCAGCCTGGCACCAGTGGGAGCATGCCCCAAAATAAGTCCCCCTCTCGCTCAAAAGCCCCTGTCCCCCTGAAGCAGAGGCAGGCCACACTGGAACAGTGGAGGAAAGGTGGACAGAAAGTGGGGCACGTTGCAAGGGTGAGCGAGATCACCCAGAGCATTGGGGAGATGCTTGCTCTGGATAGCCAGCCCTTCTCCTTTGTTGAGCAGCCAGGGCTCAGGCGGCGACGGTTGTGTCCTCCCTGTATGAGGCATGCAGGGAGTACTTGAGGGCTGTGCAAGGCAGGTCCACGGGTGGCCTTACACTTCACCTCGGACACCTGATGTAGCTGGGGTGGAGATCGTGCATACTTCTTCCTCACAGGGCACTGGTGCGATCAGTCAGGGCGTCAGTGGGCTCTCCTTCAAGCCCAGGTGATCAATGAGTCCCACACGGGAACCACAATCATGGGGGCCATGAACCACTTGGTGCAGGGGTGGCTCGTTGGGCAGGGCGAGCTCACCCGCAGGTTCATGGTCACCAACAATGGGGCCAATACGGTCAAGGCGGTCCATGATGCCAACTTTGTTGGCATCTGCTGTGTGGCACACAAGGTCCATCTCATTGTCAGGGACATCTTGGAGGGGCACAGGGCTCCCGGTGACGGCGCCAGCACCACCAGCAAGCTCATTTCCAGATGCAGGAAGGTGGCAGGCTACTTCCACCAGAGCATCAAGAGGGGCAAGATGCTGCAGGAGAAATAGGCAGAGCTGAACATCCTGCAGCACAAAATCATGCAGGATGTGGAGGCTTGGTGGCGCTCCATATACCTGATGCTTGAGAGGCTGGTGGAGCAACAGAAGGTCATCCATGAGATGGTCTTGTTCAAGGAGGTTGGGATCAGCGGCCCCCTTAACAGAGCTGAGTGGATACCATCTCCCAGATCTTTATGTTTCTCAAGCCCTTCCTCGAGGCCACCGAGACGCTCACCACTGCCGATGCCCTCCTTAGCCAGGTGATCCCTGTAGTAAGGGAACTTCAGAACTAAATGGAGAACTTCCAGGGGATCAGTGCTCCTGGCTGGGGCAAGCCACTGCCTGCAGATGTGCAGGCACTGGTGAGGCGGCTGAAGGAGGGCATCAGGAAACGGCTTGATCCCTTGTGGTCCAGTATGTGCTGGCCACCATGTGTGACCCGAAGGTGAAGGGGAACGCATGTGGTAGCAAAACCCTGGATTACTGGACAGAGGTGCTGGTGAACACAGTCAGGAAGGCAGAAGGATGGAGGCGGGGGGATGTGGAAGAGGGGGATCCGCTGTCCCATGCTAGTACGCCATCCACCAGCCAGTCTCCTCCTCCACCACAGATGCTGCCAATGTGGGCCAAGGGCATGGCTTCCACTGTGGGGTCCAGAGGCATCAGACCCCACCATCAGGCAGGTAGTGCTCAGGCCCTGGTAGCTGCCCATTTTGCCGAGGACGTGGAGCTGCTGCTGTGCAACCCCTTGGCCTACTGGGCAAACTGTAGCCAGATGTGGCAGGATCTGGCCATGGTTGCCTGGGAACACCTGTCCTGTCCACCGACCTGTGTTCCACGTGAAAGGGTATGCAGCATTGATGGTGATGTTGTGACACCCCGCCGCACCTGCTTGGACCCTGGTTTGGTGGAGCAGTTGGTGTTCCTGAAGGTGAACCTCCCGCTGCTGGGGTTCTCCAAGCTCCAGGTGCAGACAGACTGCGTGCCACCCTCCTCACTCCGTCTGTACTTAATTCCTTTTGGTTTCTGGTTTCCAAACCATTTAATGCCCCACTCTCAGAACTGCACTTCATCAACCTCCTAGGTACAGAAACTCATGGACTCAATATAGATGCTGCAAGAGGCACATGCATGCTCATCTGGACGTGCCCAGCGATGCCATGGTTGTGACAATCTTCAGTAAAAGAGACAAGTCTGACTGTGGAAACTACAGAGGGATGACCCTGCTGTCCACCACAGGAAAGATCATTGTGTGAACCCTCCTGAACCATCTTCTACTTGCTGAAGAGCTCCTCGTGGAATCTCGGTATGGGTTCAGGGCAGGGGTTGTCAACTGGGGGTACACATACCCCAGGGGGTACTTGAGAAGGCCCTAGGGGGTATGCACGAGTGGGCAGGGACAGAGTGCCACCATGCACCATCCCACACAGGAACCACCTGCTTGGGTGGACATGGGGGGCGAGGGAAGCTTGCACGCGCTCCGTGT